CGGCTGCTTCACCCCCTGGGGACACAGTCTCCAGTAGCGGCCCTGTCCCCACTCCCCGAACAGGTTGGTCCTGTTGGGGTGGGGGATGGGCGAGGATGGAGTTGACACTCCGGGGTCGCCAGTGGGAGAAGCCAGCATCTTCCCTCACTTCCCCTGCTGGAAGCCCGCTTCCGGCCCTTGCGCGCCTCTCCGTGGGCGGTCGGCTCACCCTTGCCCACTGTGTTCCAGCTGGTCCAGGAGCTCCGTTGGCCTGCTGTCCTCGGCGACATTTCCAGTTTTAGATCATGCATCACATCTCTGCGCCCCCGGGGCCCCCAGGGCCCCCATGATCTGGAAGAAGACAGCTTGAACCTAGGTGAGTCTCTCCCTCTAAACTGGAAGGGAGTTCTCCAGGGACTCCTCTGAAATGGACTTGAGGGTGAGGACTGAGAGGACGTGCAGGAGTGGGTTGGGGAGGGTGGAGGAGAGTGCGACCCGGGCTGGGAAAGGTGGTGGGGCTGCTGGTGGCAACAGCCTGTCTCTTCCCCTCGATGACTGCACACCTGTGTGCTCCCTTCGGTGACCGGCTCCTCTGCCTGTTTTTCCTCTTCACTCCACCGCCATCCCTACACCATGCTCTCTGCTGGCTGTGCTCCCCCTGCCTGCCCAGAGGTCTTCTCTCTCCTCCCAGACCTCAGCCCAGGATGTTGCGGCGGATGTTGGAGCGGCCCTGCACGCTGGCCCTGCTTGTGGGCTCCCAGCTGGCCGTCATGATGTACCTGTCACTGGGGGGCTTCCGGAGCCTCAGCGCCCTATTTGGCCGAGAGCAGGGGCCCACATTTGACTATGCTCATCCCCACGATGTCTACAGTAACCTCAGCCACCTGTCAGGGGCCCCTGCTGTTGCCCCCGGCGGCCCTCTGGCTCCCCAAGGTCTGCCGTACTGTCCAGAACGGTCTCCTTTCTTAGGTGAGTGCAGAAGGAAGGGGAAAGGGAAGGGAAGGGCGGCAAGAGTGGGGCTTAGAACAGGAGGCTGATGTAATTGGAAAGTGGGCTGAGGTTGAGATGGAGTGGACTTGAATTTGGAGTTTGGATTGGGCCCTGGGGTTGAGTCAAAGCTTTCTATTGCCTGCCGGTTCACAGGCTTCTTCCTGCCTCAGGTTAAATTGCTTCCTTTGTGGATGAGTCCTGATTTAGGTCGTGAGTTGGAAGTCCATCTGTTCCCTCCATCCCCTAACTGTAGCTTCCAACCCTATCAAGGAGTTATGAAACCTACAATAAGGTAGGCTAGGGAAGGAGCCTGCCCCTTCCAGGCTTTGCGAAGCTGCCCCAGTGATGGGAGCTCAAGGCTGGTGAGATTTCTGAGTGAGTCCTTGGGGGTTGCTGAGCCACAGACCAGGAGGGCCAGGGTCAGAGGTGCTCCTCTGACCCGTGACTTGTCATTTCCTCCAACAGTGGGTCCTGTGTCCGTGTCCTTTAGCCCAGTGCCATCGCTGGCAGAGATTGTGGAGAGGAACCCCCGGGTGGAAGCGGGGGGCCGGTACCGCCCTGCAGGGTGTGAGCCCCGCTCCCGGACAGCCGTCATCGTGCCACACCGGGGCCGGGAGCACCACCTGCGCCTGCTGCTCTACCACCTGCACCCCTTCCTGCAGCGCCAGCAGCTTGCTTACGGCATCTATGTCATCCACCAGGTACACTCCCACTCGGACCTTTCTTGAAAGGAAGCCTCAAGTAAATGCCACTCCACTCTCATGTGTGGTCCCTGGGATAACTTTGAGGGTTTGGCTGTTGAATGTAGGGAAATCCCTGGCTCTGCTGTGCCTATGGTCAGTCCCATACTTCTCCTTGTTCGATGCAGGGTATTCCTGGTCCTACACACTTCCAGGATTTTTCCTTTGTTCAATTTGGAATTGGACAGATTTGGGCTAAAATTGTAGTTGTGCCATTTGTTCCATATGTGACCGTAAGCAAGTACTTAATCTCCTACAATGAGGCAACGAGGGGTGACTGATAGACACCTATTCACATGGTTGCTGGTTGTCAGGATTTAATGCTAAATAGCAGCATGTAAGTATCAGGCACACACTGTTGCTCAAAATATTTTTTGAGTGAAATTTTTAGATCGTCTTTCTCTTCATTCTCTTTGCCCCCCATCCCAGTTTGATTTCCCTCTTTTTACTTTTTTTAAAAAGTATATTGATTTCAGAGAGGAAGGGAGAGGGAAAGAGAAACGTCAGTGATGAGAGAGAATCATGGATCAGCTGCCTCCTGCACACCCCCTACTGGGGATGGAGCCCACAACCCAGGCATGTGCCCTTGACTGGAATAAAACCTGGGACCCTTCAGTCTGCAGGCTGATGCTCTATCCACTGAGCCAAACCAGCCAGGGCCCTCTTTTTACTTTTATGTTTCAGCCCCTCTCTCCATGCCAACAGCCTGGTCTTCCTCCGCTCTCTTTCAGGCTGGAAATGGAACTTTTAACAGGGCAAAGCTGCTGAACGTGGGGGTCCGGGAGGCCCTGCGTGACGAAGAGTGGGACTGCCTGTTCTTGCACGACGTGGACCTCCTGCCAGAGAACGACCACAACCTGTATGTGTGCGACCCCCGGGGGCCCCGGCATGTGGCTGTCGCCATGAACAAGTTTGGATACAGGTAGAAGGCATTAGAGGATGCTGGGAAGCAGGCGAGCTGAGGGAATTGTGGGTAGGGATGCATACCATAAGACTTGTGGAACCCAAGGATCTTTCTCTCCCCAGCCTCCCATACCCCCAATACTTTGGAGGGGTCTCAGCGCTCACTCCCGACCAGTACCTGAAGATGAACGGCTTCCCCAATGAATACTGGGGCTGGGGTGGTGAGGATGATGACATTGCTACCAGGTCAGACATCCTGACCCACCTCCCTCCCTTTCCCCAGCCTGAATCCCCATCCTGAGGCCACCCCTGGCCGTAGCCCTTTAGTACTAACCTTCGCATGCAGGGCCTGCATTGTGTCATGCCTCTCCTGTCTCTAGTCTGCCCTCCCTTACCCCACCATTACCCTCAGTCTCCTAGATCTTTAGGCTACAGTATCCTGGGACCCGAGCAGAAAGGGGCCTACAGCCAGCTCGGTACTCCTGCCAGCGTTGCATCCAGACCACTTCCTATGTGGCCAGGGAGGAGACACTCATAGGACCAAGAATCACTTTTTTTTCAAAGCCTCTGCCATTGGCATGAGGCCAACTCATGTTTCATATGTGGAACATTTGACCCTCAGGCTCAGCTGACCCAATTTCCTATCTGTGGTTTGAATATTTGGGCTTGATATACTGGATCCATTGCCTCCTCTCCCTTGAGTCCTGAGTGGCGTCTCTGAATTCTTTTTAAGTGTAAAGCACCCAGCAGTTTCTCAATGTGCTCTTCCCAGGCCACCTTCACTTCTTGCTTCTGTATGTTAGAGTTGGGGGCTGGTTTCTGTTCAGGTCCTGGTTCCACTCTGCACGTTGGAGTGGGAGGGTGCAGGGCAAAGGAGGTGGAGCAGCTCAGCTCAGCCCATCTTCTAAGTAAGAATTGCTGAGCTTGATCTGCAACTCTGACTTGTCCTGCACTTTAGGCATAAGGGCTCCTCAATGTGTCCTTCCAAGAGGGCGAGAGCAGCTCCTGGGACCATTTAGGAAATAAGGTGGGAGGTGCAAACCTACCGGGCCAATTGCTGCAAGGCCCTCAGGGTTTGGGACCTCAGCTTCTATGTTCTCTTCAGCCATTTCCTTCTTTGCATTTGACCCTCTCCCTGCCAGTACTTGGCACTAACTGAAACAGTGAACCCCTCTGCCTGACTGCAGTAGTGGCTTTCGGTAGGGAACCAGCAGTCCCTTCCTGGCTGGCCTCAGCTCTCCTTGTGCCCCCAGCCGTTTTCCTCCAGTCGGATACGCCAAGATCTCTCACTTTTCCCACAGGGTGCGGCTGGCTGGTATGAAGATCTCTCGCCCCCCCACATCTGTGGGGCACTACAAGATGGTGAAGCACCGAGGAGACAAGGGCAACGAGGAAAACCCGCACAGGTAGGCAGGGAGGGCTGCTGGGCAGTGGGACTGGACCCTCCGGTTCTGTATTCCAGTCAGAAAACCTCTACAGGCCCCTCGATTCCTGGCTGTTCCTTCCTGGGTCTTAGTCTCTATCCTCTAATCCTCAGATTTGACCTCCTGATCCGTACTCAGAATTCCTGGACACAAGATGGGATGAACTCACTGACATACCGATTGCTGGCTCGAGAGTTGGGCCCTCTCTATACCAATGTCACAGCAGACATTGGAACTGACCCCCGGGGTCCCCGGATTCCCTCTGGCCCCCGTTACCCACCTGGCTCCTCCCAGGCATTCCGCCAAGAGATGCTGCAGCGCAGGCCGCCAGCCAGGCTGGGCCCTCTGCCTACTGCCAACCACACAGCCCCACATGGTCCACACTGACGCCTCCTTCCTGCCTACCTTTAGTCATGAAACTGAACCAGAGGGGTCCTGTTCTCCCTCCCTCAGCTCCCCACTGCTCTTAGAGGGACTGGGGGAGCCACTTACGCTGTGCTGGGGCCGGGGCCTCTTACTGCTGGACTGGAGTTGGGCTCCTCTAGACCTGAGGGCCCCTTTCTAGGGGCACCTGTCAGGATTATGACTGTGAATCCCTGATGTCATGATTGTATGTGGTGACTCCTGGGAGTGCTGCCCCTGCAGTGGGAGCAGGGCTGGACCCCAAGTCCCTTCCTCTTCCATGGAGAGAAGAGTGACCTAGCTTCTCCCGGGACCTCTGTGAATATTTATTCTATTTATGGTCCCCAGGATGTGTTAGGTGAAGTGAGCCCCTCCCTGGGCACTTTCTGCCAGGGCTGGAGCAGCCCCCTCTTCTGGCTCTGGCTCAGGCGGCTGGATTTTGATATATTTTCTAATAAAGGACTCAGTCTTGCCTTTGCTCCTGCTTTCTGCACCTCAGGCACCCTTTGCCTGTCTCTGCACCTCCTTCTTCCCCTTGCCCACGACAGGACAGCCAGACCGAGCCAATCTCCCACAACTTTTATTTTCATGGTGAGAGTCCCAGCCAGCAGGGGCAGCAAGATGGGGTGTGGGGATCATCTGTCAAGTTCTAAGCCCAGGGCCCGGGCTGCTGCCTGGCGCCCACTCTCTATACAGTCATTGACAGCAACTCCCTCATAGGAGGCTCCAGCCAGGGTCAGGGGCAGCCTGCAAGCAGCCAGGAAGTGGGCAGCTGACTCTGCAGGGGACAAGGAGCGTCAGCGGGCCGGAGTTCCTGGCTCTCCTCAGCCCAGCTGTTTCCCAACTTACCCAGTTTTCTCCAGTGGCCTAGTGTGTACTGGGGGATGCAGTGCTGGGGAGAGGAGGAGATAAAAGAAGTTTATGACTGATGTCACAAGCCTTGGTGGACACTGACAAAAACGCCAGGTTCTGCCTTTGATGCCTGTAGGGGAGCTGAGGGCATCTGTCCAGCTCACCTTGTGCAGGTGGACCAAGCAGTGACTCGGAGGCTCTTTCAGTCCTAACTGCGTGGCAGCTGCTTCCTGTGCCTGCCGCTGGAGCAGCTCCCGAGAAGAGGCCCAGCCCCTGGCTTCCAGCCCCTGTAACCAGGAACCTCCGAGCATCACCTAGGGAGAGACGACGGCCCTGACCTACGCTGGGCACATGGGAGCCCCTCGGAAACCCCAGCTAAGCAAAGCTGCCTCCTCACAGTCACTCTGAGGCCAGGGGGGCTCCCATCCTGCTCAGGAAAAGCAACTGAGTCGTACACGATTCCCAGGACGCCTGGGTCTTCTGAGGATGGCACCAGATGTCCAAATCCCTGAGAGAAGGAGATGGTCAGGGGAAGGACTCCATAGGGCCCTTGCCTCCCCTTCCTGTGTCACACCTGGACCGGCAGCTGGGCTCCTCGGTACTGCAGGTTCACCACGGCCACAGACACAGCACGGATGGTGCCCAGGACGCGCGCCAGAGGTGCAGCCTCGGCGGGGAGCAGCTTGCTGAGCACTGGGGGAGGCGGCAGAGGCTGCTCAGGAGGCCTTCCCACAATTCCATCCACCCTTCTTGGGATTAGCCTTCCACAGGATGCGCAATTCAGCGCATGGTATGGTCCTACTGGCCCAGAAACCACAGCTTGCCTCACCCTGGGTGGGGAAGGGAGGTGGCTACCCATTACCTGAAGCTGGAAGAGCACTAATCACATGGTCGGCCTCCAGGCAGCTGCCCCCCAGAGACACCTGAGTAGGAGCACATTTGAAACAGGTCATGGGAATTTTGCCTTAGCTTCCCGGGCACACATGTGGCAGGAAAGCCTGGTAGTTAGCAAAGAAACCACCCCCTTACTCCAGGAAGTGGGCCAGATAGCCAGTGTCCACTCGGAGCTGTTCAGTGGAACTGGGCCACTGATAGCACTGTTTCTACCCACAGACTTGGGTCAAGGGTCTTGGAGGAAGGTCCACAAATAAGGCCCAAGAATCGCAAATGAGGCCCATATTCAAACAGTTTCTGGGGCAGGAAACGAGCAACTCCAGTCCACCAGCCCTGGCTTGGTGAAAACATTTAGGCAAGCCCTGGCCAGGTAGCTCTTCTAGAGCATCACCCCCATATGTCAGGTTGTGGGCTCCATCCTGGGTCACAGCACATACAAGAATCAACCAATGAATGCATAAATAAGGGGGGCAACTAATCGATGTTTCTCCCCCTCCTCTAAAATCAATAAATGAAAGTAAATTTAAAAAACACAACAGAACATTTAGGCAAAGATGGAAACTAAGAGACAGGTTCATTACACTCCACGGGCCTCTCCTACCTTCCAGCGTCCTGCCTGGAGGCTGAGCCCACAGACCGGGTGGCCCCTGAGAACGGTGACCCCGCTCCTGGTCAGGTGGGTGTTAAGTGCCTGGGGCAGCATCTCCAGCCCTCCTCGGAGTGACCACTGACTCCAGCGTTCAGCCCGGGCCTGGCGGATGAGGGCCGAGTCTGGCTGTGCGCTCTGCCCTGCCAAGGGGAGGAGGTAGAGCAGCAGCAGGATAGCCTCCTGGCCTCCAGCCGCCGTAGCCCTCCAGGTGCCCGCCCGCGGGCGCGCCCTCACCGGCCCCCAGCAGCAGCCCCAGTAACACGGAGCCATGGGCTTGCTCGGCTTGAAAGAGGCTGGGGAAGCAGGACCGCACGCTGAGCTCCCGGCTGCTGCCTGC